GCAACACGGAAGAATTCTGGGACACGGACCTGCAAAAGTCCAGAGAGAGGAGCATCTGAAGCCAGTGTCCGTGTAAAGAATGGAACTGGCCTGTGTGCTAGACATAGTGCTGTAAACTGTGTGCATGTCCTGTCCCCAACTAGACCCCGAGGACCCAAGGTCAGGGACTGCTCTATCATCTTTGCCCGTTGCAGTTCACCTAGCTCACTGCCGTACAAACAGCAGGTGTCATAAGCCGGCTAAATAGAGCCTGTGGGGCTCACGGGCAGCACCCCACCGCCCTGGGCTCCCAGCGCACCTCTGCCAGGCTCTGCAGCCACTGTCCCTATGTCTGGGACCCGCCTTCCCCAGACATTTGCACATTCACTCTCACCTCCTTCCATCTCTGTCCACAGACTATTCTTTATTTTTTTAAGATTTTATTTATTTATTTGAGAGAGAGAGAGAATGAGAGACAGAGAGCACAAGAGGGAAGAGGGTCCGAGGGAGAAGCAGACTCCCCGCCGAGCAGGGAGCCCAATGCAGGACTCGATCCCGGGACTCCAGGATCATGACCTGAGCCGAAGGCAGTCACTCAACCGACTGAGCCACCCAGGCGCCCCACAGACTATTCTTTAAAGGCAGCAACCCCCACCTCCAGCCTTGAGTTCCCTCTCTCCCCTAATCTGACACACTGATCCACAGCCAGTTTTTACTGCCCTGGGGTCCATCCCAACCCCAATATCAAGATGACCCCAATATCAGCACCCCAAAGGCAAGGACTTTTGTTGTCTCCTTACTGCTACTGTTCTCGGCGTACAAAACGGCACCTGGCACCTGACACAGGCTCAATATATTGTTGAAAGGAGGAACGGAAGGAGACCTCGGCCTGAGGAGCGACTGAAAGCGGATGAACCTGGAGAGGCCGGTGGGACAAAAGTACCTGCAGGTCCACGAAACGAAGAACGAGATTACCTCTTCCAGATGCTGGGCTGAAGGCCTCTGAGAGAGTGGGGTCTCTGACTCACTGCAAGAACGCTCATCTTCCTCTTCATGCAACACGGAAGAATTCTGGGACACGGACCTGCAAAAGTCCAGAGAGAGGAGCATCTGAAGCCAGTGTCCGTGTAAAGAATGGAACTGGCCTGTGCTCCCGTTAGCCAGACTCCACAGGTAGAAGGCCCAGAGGGAAGGGGGGGGAGGGGAACCCAGGTCTTAAGAAGGAGGATGGAGGGGGGAAGGAGCCCTCGGGAGGGACTGGGAGTTCTTCTGGGTGTCCGAAAATCTCCGCTTTACCTTCAACTCCTTCAATAACTCGTGTCCAAACCAGGAAAAAACCACTGACATTTTTAGGGTCTCAATTGTTTTTATCTATAAAATATGCTCCTTAACTCTGCCTCAGAAAGCTTCTCGTGGCTTGTGCCTAGTTGGGTTTAAATGCCTAAGACATACAGGTACAGACCATAATTTCCTTCAGTCTTTAGACTCTGCTCCGCATGGGCCTCAGTGACCCTAGGGATGTCCTCTTCACATACCCTGTCCGCCTGCCAAACACACACAAGATTTGCCTGTCTGGATTCTCCTAAGGACCCACATGCCACCTTATTTCCGCCCCCTAAGGAGTGGGGTAACCTTCTGCATGAGTGTTAGCCCCAGGTCTTCCGTGAAACAAAGAGCTCTGGGAACAGACCAAAGGGCCTACCCTGCCCTTGGGGACCCAGGACATGAGCCGGTACTGAGGACGGAAAGACGGAGTGAAAGCATATCACCAGGGACCCCAGGGTCAACACGGTTGAGCACCAACCACTCACTTGGAAAGACTCTTTTTGAGCTTGATTCCTTGGCTGCTGCAGTCAGACAGGCGGTCGAGCGGGGAGAGTGTCCTGCCAGGGGGCAGGTGGCCATCGCTGCCGTAGGAGGGCAGCATTCCTGACAGGTGGCCATCTCCAAGCACGTGGAGGGCTGGGACCGCTGGGGATGGGGTGAGGGGCCCATTGAGGGCTTCCAGAAGAGACACCACTTCATAGCCTGGTGGAATGTTCTCTGAGGACTAGGGCAATCAGAGACGGGTTGAAAAATTAATTAAGTACTCTTTGTTTTATGGCATGATCGTGTTTCTTGCTCTACACTGAAAAATGTTTTCTTTTACATCTGGTCTGGCAAGAAGAGCTTCTGTAAGAGGCCAAAGAAAGATAAAATGTCAAAGAAACCCATATTCCGAGATTCCACTTAGAGATGAACTTCTTAGTAATGTTTATTTATTTTTTATTTTTATTTTTTTTTAAGATTTTATTCATCCATTTCAGACAGACAGAGTCAGCGAGAGAGGGAACACAAGCAGGGGGAGTGGGAGAGGGAGAAGCAGGCTTCCCGCTGAGCAGGGAGCCCGATGCGATGCGGGGGCTTGATCCCAGGACCCCGGGATCATGACCTGAGCCGAAGGCAGATGCTTAACGACTGAGCCACCCAGGCGCCCCAGTAATGTTTATTTTTTTGATTGTAATGGAAATATATGTTCATTACAGGAAATTTGAAAAATACAGAAAGGTAAAAAAAAGGGGGGGCGAAGAATCAATAATCAAATCTCCCAAAATAAAACTTTTAATACCATTCTGGTGTATTTTCTTCCAATCTTTTCCTCTGTACGGTTTACACAGTTATATACTCTGTAAATAACAATTTTATATCCTGCTTTTGTCAGCAAACATAAACATTTCCCTTCATATACGTCCCCTTTTCATAGAGTCCACAATTCCTACCTCTTCTACTCATGCTGGGGATTTAGCAACGTCCGACATTTCCTACTGTAAACCACACTTTTTTTCTTTAAGATTTTATTTATTTGTCAGAGAGAGAGAGAGAGAGAGCACAAGCGGCGGGGGGGAGAAGGAGAAGCAGACCCCTCCCCCCACTGAAGAGGGAGCCCAAAGTGGGGCTCGATCCCAGGACTCTGGGATCATGACCTGAGCTGAAGGCAGATGCTTAACCAACTGAGCCACCCAGGCGCCCCTTATTTATTTATTTATTTATTTATTTATTTATTTATTTATTTGAGAGAGGGCACATGAGGTGCAAGTGAGCAGGGGGAGGAGCAGAGGGGGAAGGGGAAGGAGAGAATCTGAAGCAGACTCCTTCCTCACTCAGCCCTGAGCCCAATGCGGGGTTCCATCTCAGGACCGCAAGATCTTGACCTGAGTGGAAGGAACTCTTAACCTATCAGACTGCACCACCCAGGTGCCCCCCATGGAGTCTCTTTTATTTATTTTTTTATTTTTTTAAAGATTTTATTTATTTATTTGAGAGAGAGAGAAGGAGAGATAGAGAGCACGAGAGGGAAGAGGGTCAGAGGGAGAAGCAGACTCCCTGCTGAGCAGGGAGCCCGATGTGGGACTCGATCCCGGGACTCCGGGATCATGACCTGAGCCGAAGGCAGTCGCTTAACCAACTGAGCCACCCAGGCGCCCTCCATGGAGTCTCTTTTAAAAAGCTTTCGAATCGGAAAGGTGAAAAATGGTATCTCATTTTAATTTGCATATTGTGGATTTTTAATGTGGTTAACTTAAAAAAAAAAAAAAGATGTTTAACCAGCTAAGCATCCTCTTCTGCGGATTTTATTTTTTTTTTAATTTTAAATTTTTATTTTTTTCCTCTTCTGAGAATTTTAAAAAATATCTTTTGTCCATTTATTTTCTGTTTGATTCATAGGAGCCATGGCAAAGATACTAGGTTTCTCTCTGATATAAATGTTGTGCAGACATTTTTTTTCCTTAAATGATTCATGGTTTGCCTTTTAATTTTAATCCTTTACACATCTTTTACACAACCGAACTTTTAATTTTTTTATGTGGTAAAATCTACACTTTATTTTTTCTGTAGCGTTCCTCTGCTTTTAAGCTTAGAGAGTCCTCTCCCATTCAAAGTCAACCAAAGACTCACCTAGAATTTACTCTCAGTCTTTAACGTCTGGTTTGCTTTGCTTTTGCTTTAATATAGTTAACTAGTTACTCTGTCTGGAATTTACTCGTTAATCGGGTAAGGAGTGAGGTTCTAAGCTGATTTTTCCTCCGTAAATAGCTAACTAATTATCCTAATACCACGTACTGAAGGAGGACTCTCCTCCACTCGTGTGTGAATCTGGAGAAAGTGTCCGCTAGGACCACACAGCTTCAGGCTGCATTCTAGCGCTATCTACTTGCCCCGTGACACAGAAGTGAAGTATGTCATCCACTTGGCTCCCAGTTGCTGGAGCCATGAAATGGGATAAAGAAAAACAGTTACCTCCTTCGAGGACCCAGATAAACATAGTAAATGGTATTCCAATGCAAAACAATCACCCCCTTGTTCCTGCTTAGAGGGAGCTCCCGACTGGGGTGAGGCTGCAAGCAGGCTGCTCCAGGCACGGTGAATATTAACTGGACGCCGAATTCCCAAGGAGGAAAAGGGGGATTTAATGATCAGTATCCAATTTTCCGTTGTAATACTCGTTGGTTTTAACACAACGTGACCTCAGCCAGCTTACTAAACACTGCAGCTTGCCAAGGTTTAATTACTTGTTGCAAAGTCAGGTAAAGAAGGATGAAAGATGCAAAGCGCCAGCAAGGAGACTAGAGCGCTTGCTTCCCGGGTGGTCCCGGTGCCCAGCCCAACTCACCGAATGCTCTTCCGAGTCAGACGTCTGGGACGAGATGATGGGGTTAAAGCTGGTTGGGGACAAGGGGCCCAATTTTTTCCTCATGGCCCGGATCTGAAGCAGTGCCCGGAAGGCTAGAAGAAGGAAACAGAGCATCAGGCCATGCTGGTGCAGGAGTCAGGATGAACAGGAGCTGGGGCACAAACCACAGTCCCCCCTCCTGCGCGGCGGTCAGGCGGTCAGTTTGCAGACCCTCCCATTGGGTCTTGGCCTGCAGCTCTGGGACTCACGCAGTCGGCAGATGGGGCAGTTGTTGGCCTGGTAGCGCAAGGTGTCGGCACACGTGTTACACAGGCAGAGGTGGCGACAGGGCAGAATCAAAGTGTCCCGGACATCTGAGAGACACACCACACACTCAGCACTGTTATCGCTTACTTCATCCTCAGCCACCTGTCCCGGGAGACAGAAACGTAGCCAGTGACACAAAGACCTTGGTGTCCTCTCTTTTCTATACAAGCAGCTTGCCTGAAGAGCTGAGACGAGGAGTAAGAATAAAATCTTACATTTACTTTGGACTTCACAGTTTAGCAAGTGCATTTGCATGCTGGGTTTCACTTATTCTGGGAGCTGTTTATCGCAAGCCATCCTAGGGGGCTCAGATGGTTGGGGCAGAGACATAAGAAGACCACACGGGGAAGGGCAGTGGCCATGTGGGAACTCTGCAGGGTCGCCGGGTAACCGAGCTGCCAGACCTCTGCAGAGGAACTCATCCAAACCTGCCGATGCTTTTCATTTCCAAAGTGATATAAGCATAAGCATCTGGAATGAGGAAGAAAATACCCTCCTCGGACCAAACTGATTCCAGAGTTTGGCTTGCTAAATCGCTAGATCCTAGCTTCATCAGAGCGTTTCTCCCTCTGCGTCCTGGGAAAAGTACATTCAGAATTTTGGATAGAACTTGCCTTAGAATCTTGTGTGTTGTACTTGTTTTCAATTCCATAGATCTCCTGAAGGAGGTAGCTGACCCCATCTACCTGAAGAGCAAACAGCAAAGTTCAAGGGCAGGCTGACTCGATGGAGAGAAAGTGGGAACACGCCCCTAAACCTTCTCTGGTAACCAAGGACTACTGATTCACACTGAAAAAAATCAAAGGCCTAGACAAGTAAAGGATGCTTTTATTTACTTATGTTTTCCCTTTGACAGGGAAAAGAAAATCAAATGTTTAATTCACCCACCATTATGCCCAATAGGGAACATAAAAGTTCACAAATACAACACTAATTCGTGTATAGTTGAGAAAGGCACAGACAGGCAAAAGAGTGGAAGAATATGCATCAAAATAAAAGCATTAGCTATATAATAGAAGTGAAGTGTGGACATTATAAAAATAAAGGAAAGGAGGGGCGCCTGGGTGGGTGTAGTCAGTTAAGTGTCCAGCTCTTGGTTTTGGCTCAGGTCATGATCAGGTGGCAAGATTGAGCCCTGCATCGGGCTCCATGCTGAGCACCAAGTCTGCTAAAGTTTCTCTCTCCCTCCCCGCCTCGCGCTCTCTCTAAAATAAATAAATCTTCTTTTAAAAAGATTTTATTTTTTAAAGATTAATTTATTTTTAGAGAGAGGTAGAGCGTGCGCACAAGCAGGGGGAGGAGCAGAGGGGGAGAGAGAATCTCCTGCAGACTCGCCGCTGAGCATGGAGCCTGAGGCAGGGTTGGGCCCCACGACCCTGAGATCACGACCGGAGCTGAAATCAAGAGTCGGACGCTTAACCAACTGTGCCACCCTGGAGCCCCATAAATAAATAAATCTTAGAAAAAAATAATAAAGGAATGGAACAGAGAAAGAAAGAGAGGAGAAACAGGCAAGGGAAGGAGTGGAAGGGAAAACACGAGAAGAGAGACAAGAGAGTAGGACCTTGAAGGAGAGGCTGATTGAGCCCCTCCACCTGCACGAGCCACCCCACCACCCACACGGCCAAGGAGCCCTCCTGGCCCTATTCCTTAAAACCCCAACTTCAGTGCCCACTTGCTCTAGCCTGGGCCACGTCAGCGTCAGAGCAGGCCCTTCCCTTGTTCCTCTGTGTGAGCCCACTCCTCTCTCTGCTTCACCCCTGCCCCACTGAGGTCCCCCCCAAGGACTGAGCCTGTCGCTGATTTCATATCCCACTCTCCAGTTTGACAGAGTCTGTTGCTAATGTCAAGCTGGCAACAGGAAAATGGATAAACCATTTACCTTGAGCTATCCTAGCCTTTCCATCCTCTCTAGGTGTCCTGGAGAACGAGGCCTCCCCATGAGACAACTCACCAAGGCTTGGCCTTCCCAGGCAGTACCCTGGGCTCAGGATCTGTTTTCTCCTCTGCCTTTTAAAACTTGTTTCAGGGCGCCTGGGTGGCTCAGTTGGTTAAGCGACTGCCTTCGGCTCAGGTCAGGATCCTGGAGTCCCGGGATTGAGTCCCGCATTGGGCTCCCTGCTCGGCGGGGGGTCTGCTTCTCCCTCTGCCCCTCCCCCCTCTCATGTGCGCTCTCTCTCTCTCAAATAAATAAATAAAATCTTTAAAAAAAAAATTAAAAAAAAGAAAACTTGTTTCAACCTACTAATTGATTAAATTGGAAAGGATATTATCAACAAATTTATACTCAGGTGTTGTTGACTGCTATTGACCTCATGAAGAGGGAAGAACACTTAACCCCCAAGAATGAATAATGCATCTATCACCCATCTGCAGGGGGGCATGCCAATGCCCCCGGAACCACTCTCCCCTCCTCACTCTCTCTGACTCTGCTTCCACTCTGGCAAAAGTGGAAAAAAAAGTACTGGCACCTAGCAGGGGTTAAGAGCAGACACAGGCATAACTTGCTGGTCATTCTGGAAGGGGGCAGATGGCCAGTAAACTTGGGATTTTAGAAAAGCGGTGGTGGGATGAATTAAGCCCAGGACCCTAATTGGCTCTGAATTGGACCCCAACACTTTATCCTTTAGCTTGGGAATGTTCCTCACCCTGGCATTTTATTTTATTTTAAAGATTTATTTATTTATTTGAGAGAGCGAGAATGAGAGAGAAGAGAGCACATGATGGGGGGAGGGTCAGAGGGAGAAGCAGGCTCCTCGCTGAGCGGGGAGCCCGACGCGGGACTCGATCCCGGGACTCCAGGATCATGACCTGAGCCGAAGGCAGCCGCCCAACCGAGCCACCCGGGCGCCCTCTCACCCTGGCATTTTAAATAAAAAGAGCTCTCCCTAAACCTAATGTCAAGAGACAAATCTTGTCCTTTCATTTCTCAAGTCTTTTGCTCAGACCATGGCCGCCTCAACACCAACCATTCTGGAACAATAAAGACGCCCAACATCAGTATTCCTTTCAGGCCACCCAAGGAGTTTCTAACACACAAAAGTACTCCCTTTTTCACTTTTCTTTGATAAAAAAAAAGGGGGGGGCAGTGGGAGAGAAAGGAGGGTGCTTAGCAAAAGAGAAAAAAAGAGAAAGATCAAAAGAAAGAAAGGTGGGGGGACACGGAGGACCCCTGGCTGTCAAATACTTACCACTTGTTTCTGTTTGAGGGGCTTGACGCAGAAAGTTCCATCTGTGTGCTGGAATGAAAGAGACCCGTTATGACCTGGAAGCGGGGGGGGGGGGGGGGGGGGGGGGCAAGAAGGTACCAGGTGTTCCCGGTTACTGCTCTCAATTGTACACGCGTGTTCCCGGTTACTGCTCTCAATTGTACACGCGTGTTCCCGGTTACTGCTCTCAATTGTACACGCGTGTTCCCGGTTACTGCTCTCAATTGTACACGCGTGTGATTACAGACTCCTCACACCCACAGGGCCTTCCAAGTATCCAGCCTGACCTTTCCATTTTAAGAAGAGGAAACTGCGGCCTCGGGAGCTGCAGGTCACACAGCAAGTTAGCAGCAGGGCTGGAACTAGACCCCAGGGTAGCCTCCGGCTTGACCACATCCTCCGAGCCGGACCCATCCTGCTGCACTCAGGCAGCCGGCAGACGGGGCTGCCCGCGTCCCCACACGGAAGCCAGTTAAAAGTAATAAAATGAGGCCCTGTGAAGTTACTCACCTTTTCGAAAGTGCCCAGCAGTACATGGCAATGGCCAAAATACTCTGAAAAAAAAAAAAAATAAATAAAGGCCCATGGATGAGGAAGAAAGCCCAACACCACATCCTGATGCCCGTCTACCTTCCCCGATTCCCCGTACCCAGCAAACCAATGCTCTGGGCTGTGAGGAGAAGGGGCACATTCTGTAACCCATGCTGCTCTCGTCTGCCTGAGGAGCACGCGGGGACGTAGAGACCACCTGCCTGATCCCGATGGAGAGGGCCTGCTGTTTGTGCACCACCAAAGGGCAGTGTGTATAGCGAAAGAAGACAGAAAATGCCCATTACCGTCTCCTTCATCCACCACGGCGTGGACCACTAAAGGGTAAACCTCTCGGTCCAGATCAAAGCCAAGCTGAAGGGAGAGAAAAAGAAAAAAAAAAAAAAGGGACTTAACATGTTGAAATGGCACAGTAATCCATCAGGGAGGGAGGTGTCGTCCAGAAGCATTAACTTCGGGGCGCCTGGGTGGCTCAGTTGTTTAGGTTTTTCCTTCGGCTCAGGTCATGGTCCCAGGGTCCTGGGATCGAGCCCCGCATCGGGCTCCCTGCTCAGCAGGGAGTCTGCTTCTCCCTCTCCCTCTGCTGCTCCCCCTGCTTATGCTCTCCCTCTCTCTCAAATAAAATCTTAAAAAAAAAAAAAGCATTAACTTCATCTCTGCTCTGGTTCATCAACCTGGTGACCACCTAAGTCTGTTTCATTGAAGGCCACGGTTTCTTTCTAAAGCCTTGTGGCTATAAAACCCTCTAACTTGCAGTTTCTTTTCTCCGAGCATGGCTTTCTCCAAGTATGTGAGGTGAATGGGCTACTTTGGAACAGAAAAATTAACGACATTAGGTATCTCTTAAGGGCGTGAAGGAGTCACAGGGCTGAAAACGACAGCGTGGCCTCCAAGCATCCAGGGAGCCCGGATGCTGCTGGCCATAGTCTGGACGAGGCCCTAGGCCCCTCTGGGTCCATGTGAGGAACCTGCCCCTGCACCTCCACCCAGCAGCCTGTCGCCTGGTCCAGAGGCCGCTCACCTCCTCCTCCGGCCACTCGGAGGGGTCCACGGTGTGAGAGGGCAGGCAGAACTGCTGACAAACCCCTCGCTTGTAGTGCACCGTCTCCGACTGCAGGCTGTTGTCTTTGGGGATGTAGCTGTTGAGCAAAGAGGGAAGCAAAGCAAAAGTCAGTATTGAGCCCAGACAGAGGGGCCATTTCCTCTGTCCCACGCCTGGTCTCATCAGCAGGCTCTAGGTACAGAAAAGGAAAGGAAAGAAAATATTTCCTTTATCATCCGTTTCCTTTTCTCTTGCTCGGTCATGCCGCTAAACTTATCCATTCAACCCACCCATCCGCAGAAAGGTCGCTTAATTGATGTTTAATAGCATCTTGATGAAATGAAAGGTTCCGCGGCCACCTGCCACTGCACACGATGGCACAATTTGCAGGGAAAAGGTAAAGAGGTGGGGCTCTGGGACGAAAATCCAAATTCAGGAGCCAGATCTCACCTGGTGGTAGCAACAGCTTTCCTTCCATGGGCGAGCGCGGAAGGCGTGGACCCTCACCTGTGTGGGAAGGACGCGGCTCACCTGGTCTCTGGTTCTCACCTGGCAATCCCATTCTGGAACTCTTCCGTGGCCTGATAGTAGATGGTGATGGCCACCCGAGTGTCAGTGTCAAAGGTGAACTCCACGTTGTAGCGGACCTTAGCTCTGCCAACCTCTTCTCCAGGGGTCTTTACCTCCTCTGCACACCTGGGAAACCACACAGACTCAGCATTTGGGGGATAGCAAATCAGTATTTTTAAATTTATCTTCTTTTTTAACTTAATACATTGTGAGCTTCTCTCCATGGCTATAGACTTTAGGCCGACGTCTTCATTCTGAATGCTGGCCGAGTCCCTCATGACACTGTGGGGGGCATTTCGGTGGTATCTGATACTTCACAGTGCTAGTGAATGCTCGGGCATTGGCCAGATTTTTTTTTTTTTTTGGTTTTTACTGTAATGGAAGTTACTACTCACATAGTTTCCACAAGGCCTGTCACAAAAGCAGCAGGCCCCACCCCTCCCCTTCCTCCTCTTCAGAAACCATCTTTACCTCTTTTAGCTGATTATTTTGGCATTTACCTGCACGTTTCTATAGAACATGCTTAGACGGTTCTTGACTTTTCAGTTTCAGGTGTTATCCACGGACTTCCTACCATGGGAGCCAGGTTTTCTTTCTTTCCTCTCGCTGCCCCATATAAGTACGCCTGCCCCCCAGTGCGTACTTCATGATTCTGGTAGCTCAGCACCTTCGTGTCTGCATTACTGTGATTATATTCACATGATCCCCAGCCTAGCCACAGAGCAATCGCTGATTATTTGTCTTTTCCTGCATCAGTTTTTCTTGGAGTTTGGGCTGATTTCCTTTTTCAGTGGCTCTGTTTTCTGTGTCTTTTATCACCCACCCAAACCCTAGCCCTCTGTTGGCTGGTTAAATCTCTCTTCATGTTCAGAAGCGCCAGGTGCTCCATGCATTTCGTCTTCTTGAGGAGGTGCCCAGTGGACCCCAGGCCTGCTGTGTGCCTGCACACAGCCTCCAGGGACCACCCTCCCCCATGACTCTGGGGAGTCCCCGCCACCTCCTTCCTGCACCTCCTGACTTCTTCCTCAGGGTATGCTTTCCTTGTGGCAGGGCCCCTCTTCCACTAGGATGTGTTGGAGGGACAAACTCTTTGAAAGATTTTATTCTACAGTCATACTACATTGGAAGTTTGGTTGAGTAAGGAGTTCTAGGTTATAAATACTTCTAAAAAGCCATTTGAAAGCATTGCTGCATTATCTCTCAGCTTCTAGTGTTGCTCCCAAGAAGAAGCTATTCTGATTGCTGATCCTATTTTCCTATGATGTAGGACCTTCGCCTTATCATCCATTGACCTGGATGCTCCAGTGGTACTTGCCATTTAGAAACTCAGGCCCTCTGGTTCTGGGAAATTCTCTTAAATTAGTTAAGTCATTAATGATGATTTCTTTCCTTCTATATTCTCTGTTTTCTTTCCAGAACCATTAGTTGGATGCGCGACCTTGTACACTGGCACTCTATTCTTTGTATCTTTCCTCTTTTCTGTATCTCAACCTTTTCGCCTCCACTTTCTGGAATGTTTCAACTTTTCCTCTTCCATTCTATTGGCTTTTTCATTTCTGCTACTATGTTTTTAATTTCTGAGTCTTTTTTCCCCCCCGTTGGTTTGTTCTGCCACTCTTTCATATTATGGGCATTCCTTACGCATCGAAGAATCTTTGGTTGTCTGCTCATATTTATGAAATTTAAAACCCCAGAGACGCCTGGGTGGCTCAGTTGGTTAAGTGTCTCCTTCGGCTCAGGTCATAGTCCCAGGGTCCTGGGATAGAGCCCCACATCAGGCTCCCTGCTCCTTGTGGGCTCTCTCTGTCAAATAAATAAATAAAATCTTAAAAAAAAAAAAAGAAATTTAAAACCCTAAGGTGCCTGGGTAGCTCAGTCAGTTGAGCATCTGACTCTTGGTTTTGGCTCAGGTCATGATCTTGGGATCCTGGGATGAGCCCCGGGTTGGGCACTATGCTCAGTGGGGAGTCTGCTTCCCCTTGCCCTCTGCCCCTCCCCCGACTTGTGTGGGTGCTGTCTCTCTCTCAAATAAATAAATTTTTTTATTTATTCATTTGAGAGAGAGAGAGAGCACAAGCAGGGGGAGAGGGAGAGGGAGAAACAGACTCCCCACTAAGTTGGGAGCCCAACATGGGGCTCAATCCCAGGACTTGGAGATCATGACCCGAGCTGAAGGCAGACGCTTAACCGACTGAGCCACCCAGGCACACTAAATAAAATAAAATATTAAAAAAACGAAAGTTAAAAGCCCTAATTGGAACTCTGAGTGCATGGTGTAGTTTGGGGACCCTGGGCTTCCCCAGGGACTGATCTGGGTCTTTGGAGGAATCTCCAAGGCCAGTCTCTTTGGTCTTCCCATCCGGGAGGGTTCTATTCCTCAGAGACAGTGCTCCTCTCTTTGGACGAGGGCCTGGGGCAGAAGGTGGGAGGGTGGCAAGCTGGAGGGTTCAACATCCAGTGTACCTAAATTCACTTAGCCCCCATTTTTAGTATTGCGTTCAACCTTAGCTGTGTCTGGGTCCCCTGAGCCCAGAGTCTCTGTTTTAACTTTTCCATTGAGAATCGTCTGCCAGCCTTCCGCCAGGGTGTTGGGGGGGGGCAACTCTGGCTGTGCAGCATAAAGGGGGGCGTCTGACAGCCTCTTCAGCATGCTTCCCACCAATCCTCTTCATTTTTGCCTCCCATCTCGGTGTCCAGAGGTCCTGGTACTGCCAATTCCTGAGCCTTCGGGGGTAACAGTTTAACTGGGTGATTCTTAGCTTTCCCTTCTGCTCACTCAGGATTCTGATCTCCACGGCCTGCTAAGTTATTTAACACTTGCCTTTGTTCTAGTCCCTAAACCACACTGCTGTGGCTTCTTTCCCATCCCCCCAGGTCGTCTGGATTAATGCTTTTAAAAAATACTCGTTAGTGGGTTTTGACTGGAAGCAAAAGATGTTCAATCCTCCATCTTTACCTGGAAATCTATGAATCAGAATCTACCCTATTTCCGTGATCTTGGAAAAACAGCAAGAACACCCTTCACTCTAATGGTTATTGAATAGCAGGTGTTTTCCTCCTATTATCTTGTTGAATCCTGACAACAGCCGTGAAAGGTAAAGTGTGGTGTTGCTCTCTAAGCTCAGGGACTTATGTGAGCTCGGTGCTCGGTGCTCGCAGAGCTGGGAAGCAAGCTGGTCTTCGGCTTCCAGGCGGGGTTCTGCTAGCGCCTCCCAGCACTGCACTCTGCTGGAGCTGTGGCCCTTGAGCCATAGCCAGCACTTGAGCCATAGCCACGCGTGATGAGAGAGAAACACAGTGCAGAGAGTGACCTCAGGAGCCTCAATCCATTCTGCTGCCTTGGGGACTGCCCCAGGGAGGGTAAAGCGCCCCAGGGAGGGCGAGCCCCCAGCTGCAGACTGCTCCCCGGCAGAGCACCTCCCTCCGAGGCTGCCTGGTCCCCAGAGTGGACTCCGGGGCTGGGGGAATAGTTGGGGAAGCAGTCAAAACTTCAGGGACAAATGAAATATAAAAACGAAGAGAGAAAGACAGAAAGTAAATTAGTGCTTGCTTAGGTCTGGAAGAGGGTTTTGGGGGGGAATGTGGAGTCACCATGAGTGAGTTCAGGGTTTCTTTTGGGGGGTGATGAAAATGTTCTAAAATTCGATGGTAATGATGACTGCACAACTCTGAAAATACTAAAAACCACTGAATTGTACAGCATGTGAGTTTTATCTTAATAAAGTTGTTATATTAAAACAATTATCTGAGAGAAATAAACCTCCTAATGTTAACAGGACTGACATCTTCCTTTGTCCATTTAGAAAAATCTGGGACCTGTGATTTGCCCTCGCCAAACCTGCCTTCCCAGGGGACCAGTGAGTGCATTAGCAGATTGGCACGCTATCTGCAGCATCAGTGTCAAAATTATACTATCTTAGGGATCGCACAGAGAAGGCAAGTGTTGATGATAATTAATGTTGATGATGATGATTAACCAACCAGCCGAGGGCACCACAGAGGAAAGACACATGAGATGAAGAGTAAATTTAAGCAATAAAATAAGGATTTTAGGGCGCCTGGGTGGCTCAGTTGGTTAGGCGACTGCCTTCGGCTCAGGTCGTGATCCTGGAGTCCCGGGATCGAGTCCCGCATCGGGCTCCCTGCTCAGCGGGGAGTCTGCTTCTCCCTCTGACCCTCCCCCCTCTCATGTGCTCTCTCTCTCTCTCTCATTCTCTCTCTCTCAAATAAATAAATAAAATCTTAAATAAATAAATAAATAAATTAAGGATTTTATATTCCAACTTCAAATATCCCATTTTTCCCTAGGCTTGCTGAAGCAGTGGCAAAATTCAGTTGTTCCCTCAATAATTCTTTTTTTAAAAAAATCATAAAACAAGGATAATAAGGACTGCTTCCAGGAAAGGGAAAATCCTTCACAAACACAGACGCCAAGTTCTGAACAATCTAGATGCAGTAAGACCTAATCTCCAGAGCCAGGGCTGCTCGGTCAGTGCCAGGGCAGTTCATGTCCCTGAGCCCTGGGGGATCAGACTCCGGGGCTGGCAGAAACTGCTTCCCAGGTCTCTGGGGGGAGTCGGCTGCGCTGCACCTAGAACCTGGCCTGAGCCCTACCCCCAGGGGAACTTACTTTACGAGTCTTAGTGTGTCCTTCCGGATGTTGATCAGGCTTCTCAGAGTCTTCACGGGCTCTTGGGGGGGTGGGGCAGCATAAGGAAACTGTCAGAAACAAAGTGGGAGAAGGCAGTGTGTTTAGAGAGACCAGTAACCGTCCCCTGCTGGCACAAAGCCTCATGGCTGACAAAGAACAGCCTTTCGAGGTGAAATGGGAAGGCCCCATTCTCCTAACTGAGGACACCAAGACCCGACATGTTAAGTGAACTTGCTCAAGGTCGCAGCCCGTGGGAGAACGGGGATTCGATTTGGCGTCAAAAGGGCTAGATTTATCTGCTTTTTCCATTGTAGGCAGCTTATTTGAGTCAGCATTCAAAATGTGGATAACTAATAAAAACTCCTACTGAAGTTCCAAATACCAAAGGACACACTGTGGCCGAGTTAATCACAAAAGGCTTTTCCATCTGACCTGAGACAACAGGGAGCCAGACCTGCAAGGTTTTTCCTTCAGTGAAGCCACATGGTGTCTTCGGAATTTAGGAACTGCAAATAAAAGAGAACCCCATCATGTGTACAGAGCTGAGGCTGCAAACAGTGAAGAACAAATTTTCCCTGCAGCTGGTTATATAAAGCAGAGTTCTTGAAAATGTGAGCCAAGAGCTATTTTGGGGTCATCAAAGGTTTATGATTGTCATTTACCTAACGCTTTCACTCTTTCCCTGTTGAGATGTGGAGTTCTGCATGATGATAATGAGATAAGGAAGGGAACACAGTAGAAAATTTAAGTGGGGTTTGCTTTCAGACAATTAAGAATGATTTTAAATGCTGCCAGTATTGTTCTAGTGTTATCTGGACAATAAACATTTTTTACACATAATTCACCAGTCTTTGTAGCTTGGCAAAACTGTGGTACTCCTAGCTCTAGAATTGTCTACCTCCTAGTGCTGGGATCAGAAAATAGGGCACCGACATGATCCTCTAATTGCGCCTTCACAGATTTTTGCTGAATGTGGTTCTTTTTCTTGGGAAACATAATTTAACCTATGGTACATCTGATTTTATATATTTAATATGATTGCTGATAATTCACTTGTATGAATGTGACCCTGAAGTAAATACATTCCGTCTACCTTATGTGCATTCAGATTACCCACTTTGTGGGTATTATATAGCAACACTGAATGTGTTCATTGATACATTAAACATATATTCTTTTAAAATATAGGATTGTTGGTTTTTGTAATTCCAAAGCAATACATGTTCAATTAGAAAAGCTGAAAAACACACAAAAAAATGCAAAATCGGCTACAATTTCACCACTCGGCAATACCAAAGTTAACACTGCAGAATGTGTCTCTCCAGATAGGCGTCCAACCCCCTACCCATCTGTCTCCTCACCTAGCCTTCTCTGTGTCTAGGCATGGTTTCAAACTGTGCCCACGATTTTATTCTCTTTTTCACTTAGAAAGATGTGGTAAACATTTCAAAAGTCTATAATCAGACATGACTACACACGTTGGAGAAAGAGACAGTTTATTTAATCAATTTCATAGTATTCAACGTTTTCCATTGGTTTTACTCTTTTTTCTTCTTTTTTTTTTTTTTTTTTTTTTTTTTTTTTTTTTTTTTTTTTTTTTTTGCCGATACAAATGTTGTGGTGAGTGCCTTGTTCCTACATTTCTGCATGCTTGTTTGATTACTTCCTTAGGACAAATTCCTAGAAGTGGAATTACTGGATCAAAGAGTAAGCATATTTTTAAGACTTTAAAAAATATTTTGCCAAATTGTTCTCCAGAAAGCTGATTCCAATTTTGCTCTCCCACTGGCAGCATATGAGGAGGCTTTTCTATAGGAAAGCTGCAATTCTAGTTCAGATCCTCTCTGTGGCCCATTTCCCCACCCCCCACTTCCCTAGGCTGTCACACTAAAGGAATTTAAAACAATTTTAAAATAAGCTTAAGCAAAAAGTAATTAGGCAAGAAAATCTGACACAAATGCTAGTCTATTCTAAAGCCAAAATAAATGACTTTGGGATTAAAATTTTTTTCTGGAGTAGCAAAGTTAATCATATTCATTTGCACAGGTACTTGGGAGTTAACCGTAACTCCTACCTGAGTTAAAAAAAAAAAAAAAAAAGGTGATTCTTCTTTCATTCTTCACCCTTCCCCCCCCAAAAAAGAGAAAAACAAAAGGAAAGTGAAAAAGAAAGATGAGTGTTCTTTGTCTTCCACTTAGAATAATCCTGGAGCCTGAGTTCTCTGTCAAAAAGGTACTGACCTTGAAGGTTCGGTCCATGAGACTCCGAGCAGACCAAACTTTATTCTTTGTCCACTAGTCTTTACCTAAAGCCTGTCTTCATTATGAAAAGTGCAACAGAATTCCAGAAACTGCATTTAGGTATCCTTCATGAAGCTGCTCAGTTTATATACTCCAGAATGATGTCTGAGAAATGGGAAGGCATTCCATAAGGCCATCTTGAGCTTGAGGCAAGAAGTCAGGATAGGCCTTACGGAAGGCCTGGCAGTCTTCCTCCATCTGTGGACCTGGTGGCATGTTTTGTACAAGACTGAAAGACCATCTCTTCCCCTTGACGGGCCTAGTTGTGCCAAGGTTGTATCTGAGAGAAGAAACTCTGTTTGGTCCTTCCTTGTCACCATTTACTCCTTAATTTAGTGGATGTTTACTGAGTATCTACTATGTGCCAGGATCAAGCTGGGTTCTTTATATAATTTTTTATCTTACTTTATTTAATTGTGGTAAGATACACATAATATGAAAATGTTCACCTTCACCATTTTAAGCACACAGTTCAGTGGCCTTAAATGCATTCATACGTCATGCTACCATCACCACCATCCACCTCCAGTTTAAATACATTCTTATTTGGGGCGCCTGGGTGGCTCAGTCGGTGAAGCGTCTGCCTTCAGCTCAGGTCATGATCCCAGGGTCTTGGGATCGAGTCCCAGATCGGGCTTCTTGCTCTGCGAGGGGCCTGCTTCTCCCTCTCCCTCTGCCCCTGCTCGTGTGCTCTCTCTCTCAAACAAAAAAATAAATAAAATCTTTTAAAAAAAATAAATTTAAAAAACACATTCTTATTATTCTTATTTAATATGCTCAACACTAAGAGACATGTCTGCCACACACACCAGGTTGTCAGGCCCTCGAGGAACTCAAAAATATGTTGGTTGATTAGATAAATGAAAAATGTCAGTATTAACATCCTCATTTTGCAGATGAAAAAACTGAATTAAAAGATTTGTGTAATTACTGAAGATCCAGGGCTAATGAGTCGTAGCATCAGGATTTGAACCCAGAGCCAGGAATTGACTCCAAAGCCACATTCTTTCCATTGCAGCTGCCTCAGCTAGTGCAGGGCAAGCTGCTCTGATCCCGGGAGCTCTCTAGGAGCCTGTGTAAAGTGTAGAGAGTCTGACAGTTAAACACTCACTGCAAAAGATACCAAATCCTGCTCAGGTTCTGAAAGCTAGTCGAAACTCTGGATTACATCCTTATGCTTAGCCAGCAGTACATACAGAAGCAGATCTAATGCAATATTCCTTTTAAATTTTAAGAGGAGTATCTAAGGTCTTAGAGAAAAGCTTCCTTGGAGCACAGCATGACGAAATCCTTTCGTTCGTAAGATCTAAGAGCACCTGCAGAAGACATGAACGTACATTCAGGGTATGGCGGTGCCAGAGAACACTGCCAGCAGCAGAAGCAGCCACTGCTCACCTCCTGCCTGAGCTGCTCAGAAGCGTGGTACTGATAGATATTTCTAGAACACAGTGGTTTCTCCTCGAAAGTATTTTTAAGGAACAAAGATGTGTATCCATCCATTCAATACTCTCACTTCGCCCTGAGTCCCGTGCTGGGCTTGGGATCTGGTGAGGGACCAGGCACCCCTCTCTTGGTTCTGTCTGTAGGGGGCCCAGAGCTGTGACAGCTTGCATCTGGTCCAGCACCCTCCCAGGACTGGCCTGCTGTGTCTGTACTGAAATTAGCCCAGATCTCAGAGTCCTTTAAATCCCGAACATCTCAAGTCCATCACAGGAGTATAGTACAGGCTCAGCCAAATGAACCCTTTCAATGGGCCCCCGGGGACTGCCCATCCAGGTTCTGCATGAACACTGAGCAAGTGAGTTCCTCTTTGGCCATTTACCCTAGTGTTCATCAGTTTCCTTTTACACTTGCCTGACACTGGCCAAGTGCCACCTAGTGACCAAATGAGGAACTGCCAGTTTAGACGGAACAGAAGCCGCGTGCGCCACTGAACGAGTCTGTGTGTGTGTGTATATCAACCATATAGCCTAGATTTCTTTTTAAAGATTTTGTTTATGTATTTGACACACACAGAGAGAGAGAGAGAGAGAGCACAAACAGGGGTAGTGGCAGGCAGAGGGAGAGGGAGAAGCAGGCTCCCGCCGAGGAGAAAGCCTGAGGCAGGGCTCGACCCCAGGACCCTGGTATCATGACTGGGGCCAAAGGCAGCCGCTTAACCCACTGAGCCACCCAGGCGCCCTGTCCTAGATTTTTTAAACCATTCTAATTTCTTTTTTTTTTTTTTTAAAGATTTTATTTATTTATTTGAGAGAGAGAGAATGAGAGGGAGCATGGGGGGGGGGAGGGTCAGAGAGAGAAGCAGACTCCCCGCCGAGCAGGGAGCCCGATGCGGGACTCGATCCAGGGACTCCAGGATCATGACCTGAGCCGAAGGCAGTCGCCCAACCAACTGAGCCACCCAGGTGCCGAAACCATTCTAATTTCTAATTTCACGTATTTTGTTAAACTACCCCAACAGATGCACTCAGATTTTGTTGTAGAAAATATGTTCACAATGCCTATGAGGTAATATCTTATTTTAGTTGTAAGTTATTGGGCAATTCCCAGCAGTCTATAAAAAGGACTACAGTCATTCAGAAAAAAAAATTAATTAACTTCAATAAAAAGTTTTTTTTTTAAAAAACACATAATTTGCTAACATTTGCTATTAGCCTCGGGCTTGGTCATATGCATACAGCACCCTCCATGTGGCCGTTGGGGGCTCCCTCAGTTGGCTACTCTGTCCCTTGACAATGCCTCCATCATTTTGTGAGCACTTCCTTACT